TCATTGGTGATGTGTGTTATTATCTGCATTTAATGCTTTATTTTACTCAACAACGTGATATCTGTTAAAAGAAAGCATTTTAAATGATACAGAGACAAAACAAAAACAAGAATGTAAATAGACAAACACTCTGCAAGATACAAACACTTGCCTCTTGATTTATCAGAACCCAGCATTAAAAATATTTAGCACCAGGTTATGGTTTCATGAAAATGACATTTATTTGTGTCTGTATCAAATCAGTTAAAAATTCTATAGCGAAATACAGACAGGACATTGTGTTTACTAGACAGACTGTTTGTCGTCGTGTCTCTACTTATTACTGGCCAGCCATTACTCTTTAAAATGTCTGTCACTACTTTTAAAGAGTAACAGTTGCTTGCCCACTGACATATTTTACAAATAGCTACAGAAAGTTACCTGCTAATAAAAGTATACTATAGTTGACAAAAATGTATTCCTGACACTATAGTGTTAAAATCTCTATTTAGGCATCTAGCACTGCTTGCCTCCCTTTGAAAAGGCACTTAATCTACCTTTTTTCCAGTACTGGGTTGGTTTTGCTGTTTTATTACCATTCAAGTGAGTTAGCACTGGACAAGCCACCTTAATGGTGGTTTTAACACTGTAGGGTCAGGAATATATGTTTTTGTTCCTGACCCTATAGTGTTCCTTTAATAACTCATCCCTGCCTTGCCACCACTTATAAATAACCATCCGGGTTGACTTCATAATGCGTGTGAAATCTGTTGGTAAAGTTGCCTTGAGGAACTATTGGAAAGCATTTTATGATCAGAGGACTGGTTTGGCGAATTTAATATTTTCACTAATATGAAGGCATTTTGCCAGGAAAATGATTATTCTGAAACTATGCATTGATACTGCTTTCCTGAGTCAGACTAGTAAATCTCTGCGACCTTTTAAAAGAAATACAAGCATAAATCTTTTTCTTGCTGACAACGGTTTTTACATCCATTAATAAATCAAGCCCTTGGTCTTGTCATTGTCATATTGTCAGCTGTCATGTAGAGAACCACTATTAAATCTATTAAATAACTACAGGTTCCCTACATTCAATTTAGATAACTGCATTGACTTGCTTTGTAATTGTTGCCAGTAATTTGGAGATGGTGTAATTTGGTAACACCAAGTATTATTGAGAACAGGGCTGCCATCAGAAATTTTGGGGCCCCTGACGCAGCCCAAGGTTTGGGCCCCCGTGCTTGCCCACATGGGCGCCCACATGACCTGCCCCAAATCCACCCACAGGGCTGATCCTGAGTCCACCCACAAGGATGAAGTGTGTACTGAATTTGGTGTGTGTATAGTGCCTGTAGAATGTGTGTAGTAGATGCAAAGTGTGTAAAGTGGATGCGCTGTTTATAGTGAATGCAGATTTTATGTTTGTGTGTGTATTAGATGTAGAGTATGTCTGTGTAGTGGACAGGGTGTGTGGATGTAGTGCATGTATAGTGAATGCAGAGTGCGTGTTTGTGTAGTGGATGTAGTGCATGTATTGTGAATGCAGAGTGTGTGTTTGTGTACTGGATGTAGTGTGTGTATAGTGAATGCAGAATGTGTTTATGTACTGGATGTAGTGTGTGTGTAGTTAATGCAGAGTGTGTGTTTGTGTACTGGATGTAGTGTGTGTATAGTTAATACAGCTTGTCAGTAAATGTAGTGTTTGATCCATGGCCTTGTCGTAATGTCACGACTGCTAGTGCGGTCCAACACGCAGAAACTATGTAAACATATACAGAGAAAATGAAAAGGAAATAAAAGGATAGAACGTAAACCGGTCCTTAGAATTGCCGGACTAATACGATAGAGACAGAGAATGGTCAAGGGATAGCCGAGGTCAAGGAAGCCAGAAATACACAAATACCGTTTAACAAGCCAAGTCAGGGGAACCAGAAATCGGAATAACAAGGAATAGCCAAGGTCAAAATACCAGAATATCAGAATCACAAGGATCAACGCACTCTCGGGAACCAGGAACAGGAAACCACAACAGGGCAAGGTACTGGGGTGAATCAGGGATTTAAATATCCCTCTCTGGGCTCTGATTGGTCAGAGGGTGACCTCTGCCCCCAGAACGTGCGCGTGCATTGACGTTGTGACATCACGTGCAAGTTCGTATAATTTTGGGAGGCGGAGCTATCGATGGACATGACCGCATGGTCGGCACCATCTTTCATTTGCTGGGGCAACGCGGAGGAGCAGTTCCCGGCTCACCACCGAGCAGGTAAGCTCAGGATGTTGACGCACTTGTGCCGGTCGGGCACAGACGCGCATAGCACCGAGCCGTGACAGAGCCAAATTTGATGTGGGGGCGATGATTGTGTCTGCCTGTGACTGTATGTGTGACTGTCTGCCTGTGACTGTCTGTGACTGTGTGTGTGACTGTCTGTGAATGTGTGTGTGACGGTCTGCCTGTGCATGTGGGTGTGTGAATGTCTGTCTGTGACTGTTTACCTGTGACTGCGTCTGTGACTGTTTGCCTATGACTGTATATGACTGTCTGCCTGCAACTGTTTGTGTGTGACTGTGCATTTGACTGTGTGCAAGTGACTATGTGTCTGGGACTGTGTGTATGTGGGTGTATTTGACAGTATATGTGTATAACTGTGTGCATCTGACTATGTCCGTCTGTCTTCGCTCTGCAGTGAGTCGGCATGTAACATCCCATAATTGGTGTCATTACAGGGTGCGCAAGGGACATGTGAAGGAGGAGATCCCAGCAGCAACCACTGACCACCAGATACTGAGGATCAACTCCAGCCCTCCCAGAGCAAGGTAGGGAGGCTGGGTGGACCTCTTGAATATTAAATGTGTATATGTGGTTGTGTGGGCAGAACATATGGTGGGGCAGCAAATTTTTGTTTGCCTTGGAAAGCAAAAATCCTTGCACCGGTCCTAGTTGTTCCAAATTTTTATGAATCATAGAGGCCCCTGTGCTCTAGGGAGCAAGGCAGCCAACATTTACCCAGATCTTTGCCTCAACATAATCCTGGCTTGCTTTTTACTCTGATATCCATTATCCATTTACAACTCTCAGACCTGATATAGACAGGTGTGTGCCTTTCCAAATCAGTTGACTTTGTCACAGGTGGACTCCAATAAAAGTGTGGAAACATCTCCAATATGATCCAGATAAATGGGATGCATCGGAGCTAAATTTCAAGTGCCATAGCAAAAGGTTTGAATACTCATATCAAAGTGATATTTCAGTTTTTTCTTTATAAAAACGGGGTTTTGTTTTGCCATTATGGGGCACTGAGTCTATTTTACAAAAAAATAATGTAAATAATTGTCATAACAATGTAATAATGTCATAAGACTGTAACATTAAGCAGAGCAAAAAATGAACGGGTCTGGATATTTTCTGAATGCACTGTGTTTCCAGAGTCCTCCAAATATCAGTTTAAAATACATTTTGATCAATTCCAAGGTTTGGCAAAATTTTATTTGTCATATATATGTCACTACGTACTTAAGTCCTATAATATTATATAAGCATAGCTATAAGTAATAACTTCAAGAATTTTTTTTTCTCTAAGAACGAATTCAAATAAAAAGGCATACATTACTGTATGTGTTGAAAAAAGTACTGCCTTTTTTAAACCTACTGAATAAACATGCCTTTGAACCTTTAGGGATCTAATTATATCACTAATCCACAACTGTGTCTTGTGTGATCTAACCATGCATGAATCTTTAACATTAACCGAATACTTCAGGCCAGTTAGAAACCATTTAACAAGACTTTCAGCAGAGAGTGTTACTTGAATGATTTTAAGAAGACAAACATCCTTCAAAAATACAAATATAAAAAATACACTTGCAGAATTGGATAACTGGAAGAGATTTTAAACAGAGAGGTACAAAGAACTGATTAGCTGAGAGTAACACGTTACAGTGGAGCCATTATTTACAGTTAAGCAACCATGCAAAGTGATTATTAGATAGACTCTTATCACAGTTTATCTAATTAGACTGATATTTCTCTTTTTAGAGAGAAATGTTTTTTATGTGAATTAACCGGCTCTTGAGACATTAAGAAGAGACAGCTTTTGTGCATTTTAAACATAACAATAGATTATAATCATTAAACAATGAACCTTTTATTATTTATAATTTTGATAATTACTCATTATTAGGAATTTAGATCTTTAGTGGAGTACAAAGAACTGATTAGCGGAGGGTAACAAGTTACAATGGAGCCATTATTCATAGTTAAACAATGATGCAAAGCGATTATTAGATAGACTCGTATTACAATTTATGTTATTAGACTGATTTTTCTCTGTTTAGAGAGAAATATGTTTTATGTTAAATAACCTGCTCTTGAGACCTTTAGATGAGACCGCTTTTGTGCATTTTAAACATAACAATAGATCATAATCATTAAACACTGAACCTTTTATTATTTATAATTTCAGTAATTACTGATTGTTAGGAACTTGGATATGTTGCATATAAAAAAAACAAATAACAAAACAGCTTATCATTAAAACACGTCTGTCATGTTCGTTTTGCGTAAGTTAGCTCTCAATCCCCTCTGTTCCTGTGCGTCCAAGTCATCTGGTTACAAATACGTGTTTGTTAGACCTCCCATTGTACAGTCCTGCGCGATTTGTTGGCACTTAATAAATAACAATAATATGTTTCAATCTACGTTTTGTATTAATTTATCTATTGTGGCCTAATTTCATAATATTGCTTTGCAAATGTAGGGATTTATTTTATTTTATTTGTTCTGATTATTTTACCTTAATTGATGTTCTTCTCTGTGTCAACATCAGAAAATACATAGAATTCTCTTCCCTATGGCAACCAGTTGCAAAATGTGTACATTAACGTATTTCTCCACTTCCTCTCTTTTGTCAACGTTCACTATGTGAAATTTTCATTTTGCTTATGACTGAGTAGGACCATCCATGACATTTTGCTTGTTTGAAATAGGTAAGTAAATTAACATACTCATATTGCTACTGATGGCCACACTGAAGGTAAATCTTTTGTTTTAAATGGTATCTATATATCCATGGCAACATGCTTAAAATTGGATACTTAGGAACAAATAAAATAATCTGTAAAGTATTTAAAGTTTTAGGCAGAATTATGGGTATTTCATTCAACAAAATACAAGCAGCAGAATTGCCAAATAAATTTTAAACGTTGATAAAGGTGAGCAGACATGTATCACATCTAAACAACTGGAAGAAACATAGTCCATTAAGATGAACACTCTTATAAATGTATTATACCTCTATAGCCTTATATCTTGGCCAATCAACTAGTTTATATAACATCACATAAAAGTCATAGCTCGTCTAAAATACCAACGTATTCTACTTTTCTATATAGATGCACAAATAAAATAGTCTGCTGTTAGTGATCATGGCTAGAAAGAAAATGATACACAGACATTGAGTCATTATATAGGACAAGTTGTATACATGATACTTTGGTTCCAAAATGCATGTGCACCAAATCTTCTCAGATGGGAACAAATCTCCAAACTCTAGTCAGGTCCTTTGTGAGAGAATATTAGTTTGTGCTGTATCACCAATATCCATGGATCACCTTTTATATATATGTGGCATTATCTGTTATTGAACACACACACACACACACATTATATATATGGGGTGGACTGACAACTCATGGATCTTCTTCCAACTTGGGTTTTTCCCTACTGTCCTAGTTTTCCTTCTCTGCCATACCTTACATTTTTCCTTTTATTTCTTGTATTGCATATACTTCAAGCAACTGTTTTGTTGAACAAATGGAAACCTTGCTCTGAACTGCCCAGACCTCGAGAGTCAGAACACAAGGTCTGCAACCGGCAGTTGGTGATAGATTTACATAGTTCGAGTCCTCAGCCAACCCAAGGAATTTTGTAGACTCTTTGTCAGGAACGGAGATTGAGGTTTCCACTTCCTCCACTTCTTTTTGTTGGAGAAGGACCAATAGCAAAATGCCTATGCACACCAAGTAGTTTCAAGTGAGCAGAGTTTTTTTGTGATTAAAGCAACATTTTTACTCCGAAAACGTACCTTTTTGAAGCAATGCTTTTAGATTTTGGAGCCGAAATGTTGCTTTAACTGCTAGTAAAGTCTGGTTGCTTGAAACTACTTGGGGTGCACAGACATGTTTCTATTGGAATATTACTGGGGAGACACCACCCCTGCCTAGTTGCACTTTATTTAGTTTTATTCACAGTACATGTGTGTTCCCCTCTTTGGACTTAACTCCACACACAAACAGAGGACTATCTTCTTGGCCGATCGTGTCCACAAAAGTGGACAGAATCAGCAAATGAGATATGTGTTTTTCAAAAATGGGGACGGCTTCCCCTATATTTAACAGGGTAATTACATGTTTGGGGTAGGACTGAGCATGGTAAAGGTAGGTAAGTTGCTACAATTAAGGCCTGTAAAGAGCATGTAAACCACAGTCTGTTCAAAACACAATATGTTTATAGGTTTAATCATAGTTTTTACCTTTACTTATTGTAAAGTCAACTGAATAAAACAGTAGCGGTTACAGAGGTCAAGGTCTGAGCCCCCGGAGCCCTCCCCTGAGTCTGCCCACATGGCTCTTTCTGAACCTGCCCACAAGGATGCAGGACTGAATGTGGTGTGTGTATAGTGGATGTAGAATTAGAATGTGTGTAATGAATGCAATGTGTATAGGTACAGTGTAGTGTATGCAGAGTTTGTGTTGTATTAGTGTATGCAAAGTGTGTGTCAGTGTAGTGATTGCAATGTGTGTGTTGTACTAGTGTATGCAGTTTGTGTAAATGTGCAAACAAGGGCCTGCAGTCTGTGGGTGCAAAAAGGAGCATTTTTTCACATTAATTTTAGTAAATTGTATTCCCCCCCTCCCTGCTTCTTACCTGGTCCAAGGAGGGGCGAGATTCCATTCCCTGGTGGTCCAGTGGCATGGTGGGGCCCTGGGATACCTGTTACTGCAGAGGGGGCCCAGGACACTTTGTCTGCATGTTCAGCTCCTCTCTCCCATTAACTCTAAGTGCAGACGCAGTGTCCTTGGCCCCCTCTGCAGTAACAGGTAGCCGGGGGCCGGCAGCTGCACATATATTTAACGATAATCACTACATATATGGGCACATAGGGAAAGTGGGGCCCAGGACTGCCCACAGGATCGTCGGGCCCGTGACAACAGTCATGGTTGTTATCCCCTGAAGGTGGCCCTGATTGTCATTAGAAACTTTTTGGACCCATCTCAATCACAGAAAACCAACAAATGTGAAGTACAATTACATACCTTTTCATCTAGAGCTTTGTGATGCTCAAAAAGAGACTTAAGAGCCTTTAGAACTTCTACTTCACTGGAGACTCCGGAGGGTGACTGGGCTTGGCGCTTTACCACTGTCATTCTAAGTGACCTTTCGTGTCTTGAAACAAGGCACTCCAAATGCTCCAACAAAAGCTGTTGAATTTAACATAAATACATAATGTTACACTCAAGAAAAGGTCAAAATAAGAATAACACAATTAATATTTCCTCTCTGTGAGAGCACTTAGAAGCTGCTGGTGACACAAATATGCTAACAAGTATAAGACATGACATATAAAAAATAAAAATACTTGGCTATTATGAATAAATATATTCTTCAAAGAAACAATTTGTCTGTCTATGCACATCTACAACAAGCTCTGAACTTTGAAAAAAGCAGATGGAAGTTTATGAATCATGAAAGAATAATTTTTAAAAAGCAAAACAAATAACATTTTGTTTAAAATTCTAGTAATGGTGATGTGCTAACATTCCATGGTAAACTGTGATATTAGCCCTTTCTTTTTCATTTTTAGACATTAAAATTAGCCAGATTGGTTTGCTGGGCCTTTGCTGCCTTTTGGACTGTATGGCAGTCCAGGAATGAAAATTAACCCCAGCATGGCATACCATTTGTAAAAGTAGACAACTCAGGGTATTCAAAAAGGTTGTATGTCCAGTCTTTTGTAGTAGCCACTTGGTCCCTGGCCAAACTTAGCGTTCATATTCGTTTTTTGTATTTTTCACACAAGACTGCACTTTCATTGATTATATCATCATCATTATACATATTACTGCTGTAACTGGCTCAAATTTGTGTTCAGCATTGTCTCATGAGTAAAACAGTACCCTGCAAGTACAGGTTTTATGGAGCTTTGGAAAGTTACAGGGTCAAATATAGGGCTTGCCTATTTAATTTTTTTCCACATTCAAATTTGCCAGATTGGTTATGCTGCCTTTGAGACTGTATGGCAGCCCAGGATTGAGATTTACCCCCATCGTGGCATACCATTTGCCAAAGTAGACAACCCAGGGTATTCAAAAAGGGATATATCCAGTCTTTTCTAGTAGCCACTTAGTCACAATCCCTGGCCAACATTAGCATTCATAGTTGTTTTTTGCATTTTTCACAAATAAAATGCCCTTTCACTGATGATATCATTGTCATTTTAAGTTTTACTGCTCTATAACACTCATATGTTGTTCAGCAATGTATCACAAGTAAAACAGTGCCCCCCATGTACAGGTTGTATGGGGTTTTGGAAGGTCACAGGGACAAATATAGGGCTTTCTCATTTCAGTTTGCCAGGTTGGTTAGGTGGCCTATGTTGCCTTTGAGACCATATGGCAGCCCAGGAATGACAATTACCCCCATCATGGCATATCATTCACAAAAGTAGACAACCAAGGATATTCAAAACGGGGTATGTCCAGTCTTTTTTAGTAGCCACTTAGTCACAAACGCTAGGCAAAGTTAGTTTTCATATTTGTTTTTTTTTGCATTTTTCACACAAAATCAAGTTTGTGTTTTCAAACACTCATATTTGTGTTCAGCGAATTCTCATGAGTACAACAGTACCCCACATATACTACACATACACACACAATAAGAAAAAAGTCAGTACTCCCAGGATTCTTCACATCAACTCCTTTACTTGAACAATGTCAAACAATCAATGTTTCAGTTCCGACTAGGAACTTTCATCAGGACAAAACACACAGTGTCAAACAATAAACGTTTCAGTTCCGACTAGGAACTTTCATCAGGACAAATGATGAAAGTTCCAATTCGGAACTGAAACGTTGATTGTTTGACACTGTTCAAGTAAAGGAGTTCATGTGAAGAATCCTGGGAGTGATGATTTTTTCTTGTATACATTTCAATGCAATCGAGCACCGGGTTGAAGCTATGTAAGTAGGAGTGCAAGGTCTTTTTTTCATATTATATACATACATACATATACATACACACACATACATACATACTGGAAAAAAATTATAAACGCAACACTTGTTTTTGCCCCCATTTTTCATGAACTGAACTCAAAGATCTAAGACTTTTTCTACAGTTGCAAGAAAAAGTATGTGAACCCCTATATAATATCAAAATATGCTTATGACATTGCATTTTTTTATTTTATGTATGTTTTAATATATGTATAATATATTGTAAGTTAATCAAAACATCTGATTATGCATATATATGTATAAAAATATATAAGTTAATTCTAAATGTATTTTGGGATTAATATAAATATTAATACCAAAATACAGTAAGAATTAAATTATATATGTTTAATGTGCTAATCAGGTGTTTTAAATAACTTAAAATATATTATAAATGTATAATACATGTATAATATATTATTTGAACGTCTGTCGCGATCACAAGGCCCTGGATGGCCTGGCTTGATATGTAGTCCCCCCGGACCGGGGAGGCCATGATCGTTAGGGCGTACTGTGGCGTTTAGGCTCACTAAATGTGGGGCGGCATAGTACGCCCTAACAGCGTTAAGGGGTTAAATAAGGTAAATACAGCCTCAGAACAACAACACATGACATATTACACCGTGTCATGATTTATTTAACAAATATAAAAATGGAGAAATATGTTTGAAAGAACAATAAGGATGTGGAATTCTCTGCCTGAAGAAGTGGTTTTATCAGAGCCCGTACAGATGTTTAAACAGCAACCAAATGCATACTTGCAAAAAGATAATATTCAATTATATAATTTTTTAACTGTAGGGTAATAGCTTCTTGATCCAAGGATAAATCCGACTGCCATTCTGGGGTCAAGAGGGAATTTTTTTCCTAGTTTGTTGCGAAATTGGAAGTGCTGAACCGAACGGAAGTGTCAAAGTGCCGAATTGCCATATTCTCGAATTTCGGAAGTGCCGAACCGAAGTGCAGAATTGCCGAAGTCCCGAATTTCTGAAGTGTTTTTTGCTCATGCGCATCCCTACTAAGAACACCCTTAATGCTTCATATAATGCTTCGAACTTTGCTGGCCTGGAGCATTCAGGTGTGTGTTAACACAATGCCAAGGAGGGAAGACATCAGCAATGATCTTAGAGAAGCAATTGTTACTTCTCAGAAAACTCAGAAGGTTTATAAGGTAATTTCCAAACAATTTAAGTCCATCATTCTATATTGAGAAAGAAAACTCAAAAGTGAAAAACAATTACGACACTTGCCAATCTTCCCAGGACTGGTCATCTCAGCAAAGGTCAGACAGTGCAATGCTCAGAGAAATTTGTTACATCTCAGACTCTACATTCCTTAGTTTGTATGTCAAATATCAAAGTTCAGTACAGTATAATTAGAAAAAGACTAAAATATATGGTTTGTTTGGAATAGGACCATTGAGTGAGCACCCTATTTGCTTTTGCAGATATATTTTGGTTTAACCCATTTAGTGTGCCTACCCCTCTAATTGGATTTGTACATAGTTTGGAAGGGTTGGCAGGAGTAAGCCTCTTCTCTCTAAAAAGAACATGGCAGCACGGCTTAGATTTGCAAAGTTGCAACTGAACAAACCACATTACATAGTTACATAGCTGAAACGAGACTTGCGTCCATCAAGTTCAGCCTACCTCACATTTGTTTTTTGCTGTTGATCCAAAAGAAGGCAAAAAAAAACAGTTTGAAGCACAATTTTGCAACAAGCTAGGAAAAAAATTCCTTCTTGACCCCAGAATGGCAGTCAGATTTATCCTTGGATCAAGCAGTTATTACCCTACATTGAAAGATTATATCCTTGAATATTCTGTTTTTGCAAGTATGCATCTAGTAGCCATTTGAACATCTGTATGGACTCTGATAAAACCACTTCTTCAGGCAGAGAATTCCACATCCTGATTGTTCTTACAGTAAAAAAACCTTTCCTTTGCCTTAGGCGAAATCTTCTTTCTTCCAGTCTAAACGCATGGCCTCGTGTCCTATGTAAAGTCCGGTTTGTGAATAGATTTCCACACAATGGTTTGTATTGGCCCCGAATATATTTGTATAAAGTTATCATATCCCCTCTCAGGTGACGTTTTTCTAAACTAAAAAGGTTTAAATTTGTTAACCTTTCTTCATAGCCTTTATACAGACAAGACCAAGTGGAGATGTTTGGCCATAATTCACAGCAAAACCAAAACCAAATGCAGCATATCAGCAGAAACACCTCATACCAACTGTGACCAACTGAACTTCGCCACTGGCTTTTGGAGGGGCCTGTATGTTTGTTATGGGAGTGTCAGGCATTTAATCACTGTTCTTATTGGTATGTGTCTTTGTGTTGGAGTCCCCAACAAGGTCCATATGGGCGTACCCCTTGCATGGGGATTGTCATAAAAGGCCAAGTGTGGCTCCCATATAATTGAGATTCGTTTACCCCTTCATGAAGTCTTGGCTCATGTTTGGGGGATTGGAGAACTACATTCACTCTGGGGATTGGTATATCAAAATACTCCCCTGAGTGTCACACCAACTATCAGGCACAGTGGTGGAGAGGTGATGATTTAGTATTGTTTTGCAGCCACAGGACCTGGGAACCTTGCAGTCATTGAGTCGACCATAAACTCCTTTAAATGCCAAAGTATTCTAGAGTCAAATGTGAGGCCATCTGTCCGACAGCTAAACCTTGGCCAAAATTGGGTCATACAACAGAACAATGATCCCAAGCAGGGCCGATCCTGGCTGGGTGCAAGGGGTGCACCGCGCCCAGGGGCCAGAAGGTGGCGTTGCCATGAGGAGCGTGCCCATCACAGGGGACCAGGAGGTGGTTGGCTGGCCAATTTAGGGTACCCCCAAGGCAGAGGAGCTGCAGGGAGGGTGGGGCAGAGTAGGTCATGCCCCCCCAAATGAGAGTCAGTCCAGGCCCACCGAATCCTGTGCTACTGTGCTAGGTCACATACTCCTCAGCCTTTCCCTAGTGCAGCACTATGTATCCTCTTTCTTGATGCCAAGCTGCTACAGGAAATATACTGCCCGAGAGTGAGCGTGCCTGGGGAGGAGGGAAGTGAATTGGCAGCGTGAAAGCTCAAATCCTCCCTCGTGCACCCTGTAGAGTTGCCAGGAGCTGGAATGTGATATCACTCCGGCCCAGGAACCACTGCACGGCATGCAAGGGAGCTATGCAAGCAATGCTGATATAGATCTGAGCTCCCTCAGAGGAGCGCAGTGACTGCCCACACTGGACACAAGCTGTGTATCCATTCCAGTTCTCCTAAAGGTAAGTAGACTGGGTGGGCAAATAAAACAAACCTCACTCTAATACAAAACATGTTTTTACTAGTGTGTGTGAGAAAGTCTGTGAGTGTGTGAGATTGTGTCTGTGGTTGTTTGAGTGTTTGTTAGTGTTTTTGAGTGTGTTTCACTATGTCTGTATGTGCCCACAATACTGTCCTCAACCCTCCCACTAAAGCCCTAATTCCCTATAATACTGTCCCTATCTTCCCCACCCTAAAGCCCCTACCCTCCACAATACTTTCTCTGTCCCCCACTAAAGCTCCAATCCTGCACAATATAGTTGCTATCTCCCACCCCAAATTACCTCTCCCCTCCAGAATACTGCCCCTATTCGCAGACTATACTGCTATTCCTCACACTAAGGAATTAATATCCGAAAATATGGCCCCTGCCCCCCACAGTAAGGAATCAATTCCCCACAATACGGCACCAACCCCCCCCCCCCCACTTAAGCCCCTATCCCATACAATACTGCTCCTATCCCCCACACAAAAGCACTTTTTAAATTGCCCAACAATACAGCCCCTACCCCCTCTCACTACACCCCCGATCCTCCCACACCCCAAATATTATGTGCTGTTGTTAATTTGAGGTTGTATTTGCCTAATTTGAAGACCTGCGTAGAAATGGTTGATTGTTGTTAAGTAATGATATCTAAAACTATTACATAACTATATATATATATGACTTAAATAAATTTACACTTTTGACCTGATGAACAAATCTTGCATGGAAGAATTTTGGTCAGTGGTTCATTACTCCATTCTTATGATTTGCCACTCGGACATTTGGAATTTAATGGCAAGACAGGAGGCTTCATATTTGCTTATCTTTCTTTACTGTAACTCCCAGCAGCAAAGAAACAGTTAACAATCAGTGTAAAAAAGTTTAACCAATCAGCATGCATCACAGTAATATAAACTGCCATCAGGCTCCTCCCAACTCTTTCTTTGCTGCTTAGCCTCCTAGGTGAGTCTATTCTAATTATATCCCTATTAATACTCAATTTAGCTGACTATTATCATTTTAATATCATTTGACTATATTACATATATTTTCTGTTTCTTTAATTTTATTTATGTGCAATTTTTGCTCCTTTTATTAACAACTGTTAAGTGGGCTGACATTCTAGTCAGCCCACAACTTCAGATTCCTTCATATTTCTTTCACTAATTATATTGTGCTCTGTCAGTTTAAATTTAGAGCGCTGACAGTTTCGCCGCAGCTCCCGGCATCTCGCCGGTGCATTCAGCCGCTCAGTTCTCTATACACAGTTTGTGTTTCCCTGGCGTCTCCATAGAGACACGTCCCGCCCTTCCGCCTATGCCACGTCCATTTCTCTTACCTTTTTCCCGGGCTTTTTGACTCAGCGCCATCTTGTGGAAGGTTTCTGTGCGGCGGTTTCGTTTCGTCTCTTCACTGCAAACACGACCCAGTAAGTATACTTTTTCTTCTTAAAGCCCCAGTCTGTTAGTTTCCTTAAAGGTATACACTCCCATACTCAAAATATCAGTTTTTCTGTTTACAGATTCCCAATTACACAACAAAGTGTTTCAAAAAACCCTTGCTTGATTTTGAGGGTGATCCCCTTTGGCCTATATTCTGAGGGTGACTCCCTCTAGCCTCTTTTCTAAGGGTGACCCCCTTTTTGCCTCTATACAGCGTAACCCCCTATATAATTACACAGGTACATACCTGTTATTGATTTTGGACATTATATTGTCCTTTTCTCTCTGGGTGAACCCCACTGATAAGCTGTGGATAAACCCCACTTTTTTACAGGATAATTGTTTCCTGCATTTTACATACTGTCTAAGTCCACCGCCTCATTGTAAATAGTTTGTCTGCATATAACAAAAAAAAACTAAAAAAACTTAATATAAAATAAAAATAAAAAAATAAAAATATTATAAATAAAAATATAAATAAATGAAATACTATAGTGGTGACCCCACTGTTACTGACATTATGTCTGATTTGCCAGATCCAGCAGTCTCTTCTGAACTTAAGGCTTGGCTATTCAATGCCATTAACGAATCCATACCCAAATCTCTAGCGGCTTTCCGCGAGCAGACAGTCTCAGCCCCTACGGCGACCATTACCCAGCTGTCAGACTCTGAGGATTCTCATGGTTCAGAACGTGACGAAGCTCCTCGCAAACGCCCTTGGAAGGGCGATAGCGCTACCGCCGGTAAAGGCAAAGCGCCTGCCAAACACCCTAGAGTTTCCTATTCTAAACCTAGGGAGGTTGTCTCCCAACATGATTTTGATTATAATCAACCTCTAATTATAATCTTCAGGTGGTAGATGAATACTACGCAGAACATTCTGATAATGATGCTCCACCTCATAAGACATCCCAAGACCTTTACCCTTCTGATTTTGCAAATAATGAGTCCTCCCTCATACCTCAAGAGGAATTCCATTTGGAATCTGACCTAACATCTGAAAACCCTAACTTAAAAGATGATACCTTATTTGACACCTCTGGCCACCCTTTATTTGACCCCAGATGCATCAGGCACCCTAGATCTGCTGAATGGACACCCCTGGACCACACTGCCAAATACTGTAGAATGTGGCTCCATCGGCCTTTAGAAAAAGAGGTGAGAGACAAATTGAGGGCAGAATGCCCACGTCCCATTATCCCGGACAAGGTGGCCAGTACACCTGAATTCGACCCCTTCCTTGTTACCTTTCTGACCAAGTCAGGGAAAGACCCCCGTAAGGGTCTAGAACAGGGTCTGAAAGCCACTCAAGATAAGTTGATGGATGTGGCGGGCCCGCTTATACAAATTTTCATTATAGCAGACGAGGCTTTATCAGGTGGCACGTTTGACGCACATATAGTGCGAGAGTGGGCACAAAGGGCTTTATGCCTTTTAGGCAATGCCAATGTGGCGATCTCGATAGAACGGCGGAAGGCCGTCCTTTATAAAATCGATGCCAAGCTTGCCGAATTGGGCATTAAAGAACTTGGTCCAGAGGCTCAAGGCATGTTATTCGGTGACAAGTTCATAAAAGAACTAAGTAAACACGTCTCTGTATTTACTATGCTGACAAAAGTACAATCCTCCATTCGCAAGGTGTTTCGCACACAACGTTTTTCCGGGACAGCTGGTCGCTACAGAGGCCGAGCGACTGGCAGAGCCGCCTTCACGGGCTACAGGCCTCGACCTTCAGACACCTGGAACTCGGGCAATACCCGATTCCACCACAGGCAATTTTTCCCCTCTTGCGGAGCTATCCAAGGACGTGGATCCGCTTCCTTCCGCGGTCGCACTGCTACAGGTAATGGACCTTCCTTATTCTCATATTCCTATTACAGGCTTTTTAACCCTTTTTTTCCAACAGTGGTCTCAACTCACTCGGGATCCTTGGATCCTTCAGACTGTGTCCGGGTTCCACCTGGACTTTTCAGACGAACCGATACAAAAATCTCCTCCTATCCCGATCAAGATGTCATTGTTAGACTCTACGGAGCGAACTCAACAATCTATTCACCAAGGGTGCGATCGAAAGAGTTGTTGGCCTACAGGTCTTCATAAGCAACATGTTTCTAGTCAAGAAAAGATCAGGAGACCTACGACCTGTTATCAATCTGAGAGATCTGAAAAGGTTCATCACATACCGTCACTTCAAAATGGAGGGAACCCATTTATTGAGAGACATACTCTGCGAGGGAGAACTGTCAGTGGACTTTTCCCTGCTTCTACCCACCTCCTGCGACCTCCTCAGGGACCCGGCAGGCAACTTTCACCCGTTGGCAATTCAGGATCATCTCTGACTAGTGGCTTGGACCGTTTCAGGGGATCTTGGAATGTCTCAGACCTTTCGACAACTGCTCAGGGACTCCTTTGGGATTCATGGACCTGAGGAACCAGACGCTCTTACATCTCTGCATGGCGTCTCTGGAGTTGCTGGTGTTTGCATGGCGTCTCTGTTCGACCAGGGTAAATCCTAACGGACTATTAACGTGTTTCGATCTGCTATTTCTGCAGCGCATGTTCCTATTGAAAGTTCTTCAGTAGGAAAACACCCTTCTGTGTGTAGACTCTTGCGGTGCATCCGCATCTCTAGACCTCCGGGTCATCATGCTCACGTTCTTAGAAGCTTGGCCGGTCAACGAGGCGCTCTCCCTGCTTGGTCTCCTTCCGAAGAGTCTCCGACATCAGGGCTTTCGACTTTCATGCCCTCGATTTCACACCGGAAGGGGTGCGCTTTCACATCACTACACACGCCAAGACCAATTCATCTACAGTGAGCTACCCCTATTTTTCGGAGAAACCCCTTCCTCTGTGTAGCCCGTTGCATAAAACACTATATATCTCGCACTACCCCTCTTAGGGCACCTACTGGGCCCCTCCTGGTGTCCTATGTGTGACCACACAAACCAGTCTCGTGCCCTACCATTGCTCGATGGATTAAATGGCTACAAGCCCTGGCTGGCATTGATGCGTCTTTCAGGGCTCACTCTGTATTCATAGCTGGAGGTTCCCTGGCGGAGATTTTATCCTCCGCTGATTGGTCTAGGGAATCCACTTTCCGTACCTTTTATTTTAGACATTCTCCACACGTTTCTTTGTCCATGCTAGCTACGCGTTAAAATAGCAAACATGAAGCCTCCTGTCTTGCCATAAAATTCGTGATTAGTCTAACTTTTAGTGACCAAATAATCTAAATTTTATTAAAGACAGGAGGCGAATATTTTCCCACCCTGGAATATCCTTACCCACCCTAATAGGTAAGTATCTAAACTTAGTACCTCCATCTCTAACTAGGTGGCTAGCATTCTCTCAACTTTTTCTAGCCTTTACTCGTTAGTTTATTATTATATGTTAAGCTTGCATTCAAACTGGACGTTAGTTTCATTGCATTTTAATTTGGTTTTCACTTGCCCTAGACACCAGACGTAAATTTAATCCAGTGAAGATGTAATGGTGCTCAGATTGCCCTTTTAAAACTTTTTTATAACTAAGAAAAACACACACACATATATATATACACACAGGTGATACTTGAAAAATTAGAATGTCGTGCAAAAGTTCATTTATAACCAGACGGTTAATTATTATATGGTAAAGCTTGCACTTAAATTGGACGTTAGTTTCATTGCATTTTAATTTGATTTTCTCTTGCCAAAGAGACCATACTTTCACGCTGTTTCTCTTTTCTCCTAGTGTGAAGATCACTCGTCATCTCTGTCTCAAGTCTCCCCTTCGGGTTGAGCACTGTTTTCATCCCATCGGATACTTACACCGTTACCTATTCATCGTTCTAATGGTTCTACATTTACATGGTTGACTCTACGACTGTTCGGCTACATCAAGAAAGAGGAATTGGGAGGAGCCTGATGGCAGTTTATATTACTGTGATGCATGCTGATTGGTTAAACTTTTTTACACTGATTGTTAACTGTTTCTTTGCTGCTGGGAGTTACAGTAAAGAAAGATAAGCAAATATTCGCCTCCTGTCTTTAATAAAATTTTGATTATTCGGTCACTGAAAGTTAGAATAATCCCGAATTCTTCTGAAAATGTATGCCCAGGTCTGTTAACCTTTACTTTTTATAATCAAAGACACAAGATGTAGATAAGAAAGGGGACATAACAAACCTAGCTACAGTATCTCAGATATTAATCGCAGCAAATGCTGTATAATTCACATTCAGCAGACTTACTATGAGCAAACTCCTGAGCTGAGTGCTTAACAATAAAAGACCACACCATAACAATTTTTTCAGAATTATGTTTTTATGGTGCAAGGAGGTCCGTACCTTTGTCACTTCATTTTGTGAATATGGATCTACTGAAAAACTGAGAACGTCAGCTGATGTTCTCAGCCTATCAGCGGTGCTAAGTCAAAGGCTTCCTGATTGAAGCTTTAGACTGAAAATTAAGTGAAGGGTCAGAGCTGATGGTTGCCAAATTATACACTTTGGGGATAAACTGTTTAATGGTTTAACCAATTGATTTAAGTCGGCATCCAGTGATCTCCTCACAACATAAATTTAATCCAGTGAAGATGTAATGGTGCTCAGATTGCCCTTTTAAAACTTTTTTATAACTAAGAAAAACACACACACATATACATATATATATATATATATATATATATATATATATATATATATATATATATACACATACAGGTGATACTTGAAAAATTAGAATGTCGTGCAAAAGTTCATTTATTTCAGTAATGCAACGTAAAAGGGGAAACTAATATATGAGATAGATGCATTACATGCAAAGCAAGATAGTTCAAGCCGTGATTTGTCATAAGTGCAATGATTAGGGCTTACAGCTCATGAAAACTCCAAATCCACAATCTCAGTAAATTAGAATATTGTGAAAAGGTGCAATATTCTAGGCTCACAGTGTCCCACTCTAATCAGCTAAGTAAGCCATAACACCTGCAAAGGGTTTCTGAGCCTTTAAATGGTCTCTCAGTCTGGTTCAGTAGGAATCACAATCATGGGGGAAACTGCTGACCTGACAGTTGTGCAGAAAACCATCATTGACACCCTCCATAAGGAGGAAAAGCCTCAAAAGGTAATTGTGAAGGAAGTTGGATGTTCCCAAACTGCTCTTGCAAACCACATTAATAGAAAGTTATGTGGAAGGGAAAAGTGTGGAAGAAAAAGGTGCACAAGCAGCAGGGATGACCGCATCTTGGAGAGGATTGTCAGGAAAAGGCCATTTAAAAGTGTTGGAGACTTTCACAAGGAGTGGACTGAGGCTAGAGTCAGTTCATCAAGAGCCACCACACACAGACGGATCCTGGACATGGGCTTCAGATGTCGTACTCCTCTTGTCAGCTCCTGAACAACAAACAACGTCAGAAGCCTCTTACCTGGGCTAAAGAAAAACAGACCTGGTCTATTGCTCAGTGGTCCAAAGTCCTCTTTTCTGACGAGAGCAACTTCTGCATCTCATTTGGAAACCAAGGACCCAGAGTCTGGAGGAAGAATGGAGAGGGACACACTGCAAGATGTTGAAGTCCAGTGTGAAGTTTCCACAGTCTGTATTGATTTGTGGAGCCACTGTGCTTCATTAAGTCCAGGGTTAACACAGCCGTCTACCAGGAGATTTTGGAGCACTTCATGCTTCCTTCCGCAGACAAGCTTTATGGGGATGCTGACTTCATTTTCCAGCAGGACTTGGCACCCTTCCACACTGCCAAAAGCACCAAAGCCTGGTTCAATGACCGTGGGATTACTGTGCTTGATTGGCCAGCAAACTCGCCTGACATGAACCCCATATGGAAACTATGGGGCATTGCCAAGAGAAAGGTGAGAGACATGAGACTTGTTTCAACAGCGTGACATCGGTGCCAGTTTTATAGGTATTTGTTATGATATAGCACTTTTACCTATTAGATTAATCCACACCTTAGGCTTTTTAGTTTCTTTATGTACATAATCTGCATATGCCCACCCAGAATCCTTTGTAGTAGTAACATCACTGCAAATTTGTGATTTCTGTGAGAATATGAATTCTTATGGTTTGACTGGTGTGCAGATCTTTGTTTAACATTGTATTGACTATCCACTGACTTCAGGCGGAAGGGTTTTTCAATCACACTTTTTCCCCACCATTACTTCCTTGGTTATATATATATATGTGTAACTTTTTGTGTATGTATGTATATATATATATATTGGATATTGTATACTGTTATGCATCACCTGCATATCTCAAGTTGGACTAGGATAGGATTCTTCTTGGGCGTAGAAAGACAAAAAATCCCAGCTTGACATGTATGCACAGGCATTGTGTTTCAGACTACATACAGTACTACACGTCTGCAGATGGACAATATGTTAAACACACTTTTTTTTTTTAAACCAACCTTTAAAAAACACGTTACATAAAGTACAAACATCGTGAAATAGTATGCAGACTCATCTGAACGCTTAATTTTGTAGCAAAAATAAAAATAGCAAAAAGGGGAACCACCACCAGTCAACATCAGCTCTACCCACGTAGATACGTGATTTGCAGTTAGCACAAACAATAGCTGATTATAGAGGTAATTGATATTAGCTGTTGCAAGGGAAGTAAACACATTCTAGAATATCTCTCATGACTTATACCATGTGAAACAGCTTAGACAAAGAAGGTTACAAATGTAATAAATACTAAATGCACACGTTTGTATCAGAAAGCAGAATTAAAGTCTCACAAAAAGGAGTACCGTAGCCTGTGAAACAGAGAGGATTTTACATCCCGGACAATTTATTCTTTAATAGATTTACACTTATAAAAGCAAACCGCTTTTTCAGCTGCTATAGCAACAAATGCATTCAAATGCATTCAGTGTGTATCACATGATATTTTAAAAAATTAATGCCGTTTTTGGAACTGGCTCTGGATACACTGTTTATTTGGAGATCTACATGCTTTGTTCTCGGAGAAGAGACATTCTAGTGAATGCCCTCATGACAGATCAGAAAGGGAACACAGTGACGATAAGTGCACAAAAAACTTAGGAGACACTAGCTTGTTTCTAGAGCCATAAATTGACATGGCATGTGAAGTTTATAAAAATATAATTTTTTGCCAACAGTTCACTTTTAGCAGATTAATATGTATTGTGTAATGCATGAGAGACCTAATTCGATAATACAGATATAAGGGAGTCGGGAGTCTTCATTGTAGTTCCATCATAGGAACAAGCAAACATTTATAGATTAGTCATTAACTAATAATTATGTTTTGACACAATTACCCCATGACATTCTGGAAGCATGGGGGGCAAACTGAGTTATGTACTTAAACCAGACCATAAAACCAGCAGATATGTGACAGTGTTTGAAATACTGTACAAGTTCAATGAAAATAATATACTTACACGGGTATTGTTCCTTTCTGCTTTCAGTTCTGAGATCTCTTCTTCCTTTTCTAGAAGCTGTTCCCTACACGCACTCAGTTCCTTGGTTAGTGCAGCGAATTCCTGAAATATACAATAAGAAACTCTTACTAGTACATTATTCAATAGGCAACGAGTGCTCAGAGTTCAAGGGAAACAGACAATTAATGATCAATAAAGAAAATTATCAACTTAAACTGACCAATATAAAACTGTGTATGCAACAAATAATTACAAGGGCAGATAACAAGTTATTCATATAATAGCAATAAGGTCAAGCAAGATAGAAAAGTTCGGTAAACGTACAAGAAAATAACTTTTTTTATGGATTTTACTACATACAAAGACCAATTTTTCTTTTAAAGGTGGGTTGTAAATAAGGAAATGAGATTTATAGGGTAATGAATACCTCCCAACATTTGGAGGTATGAAATTGGGAGCGGTGGGCTGGTCTTCAAGGGGGCATCATCCATGATTCTATTTTTACCAATGGCAACACCCATGATATGCGACACTGATTAGGCTGTAAGACAGGCTATCAACCTACAAGACCATACAGAAAAAGGTTTAAGTGGTCCAAGTGCCCACTGCACAGCACAAGCTAATTTAATAACTGTGCTGCCTTCTGACATTTCCCTAGTATCTCCAAATGCGGGACACCTGGCAAGACCCTGAAATCGGGACTATCCTACCAAAAGCAGGACAGTTGGCAGCCCTGGTGATATAATGGGAAATATACCTTGCATGTTAGAGTTCTGGCGAGATGAGATAAAAAGTGAAAGTGTGAAAGATACTGAAGACATTCCTTAAATTGCGAAAGCACTCAAGATTATTTATTAACACATTAACCCAGGACATACTTGAAAACGAGAGAAATCTCAATGTATCCTTCCTGTTAAAATATTTTATAAATAAATAAATAAATAATTAAACAGGAAACCTGAGAAAATAGCAATACAAATTAAATCACATAAGCTCTAGTGAAGCATAGCCTAAGGCTGAAAGTAAAGCAGAGGCACTCAGTGATTGCTAAAGGGACACTCTAGTGCCAGAAAAACAATTAGTTTTCCTGGCAATGCAGGTCCCCTCTCCCTCCCACCCCCCATCCCCGGTTGCTGAAGGGGTGAAAACCCTTCAGTCACTTACCTGAGACCCCTGCCGATGTCCCTCGGCGGTGGTTTCGGGTCGCCGCCGCTCCTATTCTTTTTATTATTAATATTATTGCCATTTATATAGCGCCAACAGATTCCGTAGCACTTTACAATATTATGAGAGGGGGATTTAACTATAAATAGGACAATTACAAAAAATTTACGGGAACAATAGGTTGAAGAGGACCCTGCTCAATCGAGCTTACATTCTATAGGAGGTGGGGTGTAAAACACATTAGGACAGGAATTTGCAGTCAAATAAGGTGGGCTGCCCTTTAGGAGAGAGCAAAAGACAGGTATGTGAGGTAGAGGTTAGTCTCATGGGCGTCCGCAGGAATTTTTCCGGGGGGGGGGGCATAATTGTAATGACATCCATGCTTGGCCCCTTTTTGACAGTGTCATGAAAGGGAAGGGGCATAGTCATTTTCACATAAAGCCAGGGTGAATAGCTTTTTTACAACTATGGTGTCAGGGAATATATGTTTGTATTCCTGACACTATAGTGTTCCTTTAATCAAATTAAAGGAACATTCTGGTCACCATAACAACTTTAAATGAAAATGCTATGATGCAAGGAGGCCCCTTGGCGCTCTCTTTCCTTTAAGGGGTGAAACCACTCTCAAATGGTTTGCCCCCAAAGGCTTCCTCCTGCTCCAGATCTTCTGTTCGCTCAGTGGTATTCAGCTTCTTAAACGGAGTGTCAGGAAGTGCAGATTAACGTCAGGCATGGGTGCCGCTGATTGACTAGAGTGGTCAGCTGACGCTCTAAGCCAATCGCTAGTTCCTGATTCATAAAAATGTTTTTCATGAATGGGGAGCTACTGATTGGCTTAGAGTGGCAGCTGACCCTCTAGCCAATCAGGGGCACCCCTACCCAGCGGCCCTCTGTGTTTCCTGACACTCAGTAAATTTAAGTGAACACATTAACACTGATATTTTGTTTTTACTTGGGGAGATGAGAAGGTCCAAAGTTTCCCTGTCAGGCCCAGGTACCAAAGCCTTATGATGTGGTGTCCAGAATGGAGTGCTCCAATCTCCTTCATTTGACACAGTCTTCTTTTTCTTCTGAGGCTCCTTCTGCAGAGGCGGCTCTAGACTTTGAGGCCTTAGGCGAAACTCAAACATGTGGCCCCACTAACAAAAAAGTGAAAAAAATAGAGTTGCAATACATGCACACTGTCACATATACACATTGATGCACAGTTTACCTGTGTAGGTGCCTGAGAGTGTGTCTGACAGAGAGTATCCGTGTGTGTGTGTGTGTGTATGTATGTATGTCTCTGAGAGCATGTTTGCATTTTTGTCTGGTACCATATGTGTATGGGGTAGCTGCTTGAAGAGGTGGGTGATGGTGAGAGGGCGTAATGCTGAGGGAGGGGGTGATGGTGACGGAGGGGGTAATGCTGCTGAGAGAGGGGGTGATGGGGGTAATGCTGTAGGTGGTGAGGAGGTATTTGAGGAGAGTGATAGTGAGGGAAGGTAATACTGATGGAGGGAGGTAATACTGAGGTGGTCAGAGTGATAGTGAGTGGTGATCCTGAGGAAGGGGGAGTAATGGTGAGGAGGTAATGCTGAAGGGGTGGTGTGTGATAGTGAGAGGGGTGATAGTGGGGGAGTGACAATTAGAGTGATACTGAGGTAGGGGTAATGCTGAGGGTGGTGAGGGGGGAGTAATAGTGAGGGGAGTAATACTGAGGTGGTGAGAATTGGTAATAGTAGGGGGAGTAATACTGAGGGTGGTGAGGGGTAATGCTGAGGTGGTAATAGTGAGGGGGTAATGCTGAGGGGTGGTAATAGATGCTTGAGGACAATACTAAGAATTGGTATGTAGTGAGGGGGTAATGTGGTAATGATGAGGTGGAAGGTACATAGTAAGGGGTAATGCTGAGGATGGTGAGGGGGAGTAATAGTGAGGGGAGTAATGCTGAGGGGTGTTGAGGGAGGTAATACTGAGGTGGTTAGGGGGTATGCTGAGGGGGTAATGCTGAGGGTGGTGAGGGGGGGTACGCTGAGGGTGGTGAGGGGTAATGTGCTAAGGGGGGGTAATAGTGGGGGGGTAATGCTGAGGGTGGTAATAGTGAGGGGGGAAATGCGGGTGTTGAGGGGGGTAATAGTGAGGGTGGTGATGGTGAGGGGGTGTAATGCTGAGCTTGGTGAGGGGGTAATAGTGCCCCCCATCCCTCCCTTACCTGATCTGTAGGCAGCCTCTGTGCTGCTCCCCTGCGGTTTCAGTCATGAGCGAGTGGCAGGGATAAGCTGTAGCTTCCTGCCTTTTAACATTCACAGTGCCACCTACTGGCCGGCGCCGGTATTGCAGTGTATTCTCACACAAACCAAAAATAGCAGCACAAGCTGAAAAATCCAGGGGGGGGCAAGTGCCCCCTCTTGCCCCCCCCCGCGGACGCCCAGTCAGCCTTACGTCAGCCGGTGGGCGAGACTGATTAATCCGACCGCCGGCTGAGGAGACCTAATGCGCACGCGCATTAGAGCTCTCCATAGGAAAGTATTGAAAATGCTTTTCAATGCTTTCCTATGGGGAATTGAGCGACAATGGAGGTCCTCACACAGCGTGAGGATGTCCAGCGATGCTCTAGCACAGGTTTTCTGTGCTATGGACCAGGAAGTGCCCTCTAGTGGCTAGTAGCCACTAGAGGAGTTAACCCTGCAATGTAATTATTGCAGTTTATAAAAAACTGCAAAAATTACAGTTGCAGGGTTAAGGGTAGTGGGAGTTGGCACCCAGACCACTCCAATGGGCAGAAGTGGTCTGGGTGCCTGGGGTGTCCCTTTAAATAAAATAAATCAGGATAACAAAAAATTGTGTGACCTTTAAAAGACAACTCTACTTGCTCAATGTGTGAGGGTCTGGACAGCCAAAGATGCATACCTCTGACACTGCTCTTACATGCCTCAACTAACCAATAAAGCCTTCCATTCCCCATCCTCTTTGGATCTCCTTTTCTATCTCATTTCTTTTTTCAAATATTTCCCTATTTTCTCACTAGCCGGACCACATACGCCTGTAAAATGACAACCGATATCAACCACATTATCAACCACCTCTCAGCGTTACAGCCTATGGGGCAATATGACAAATATATCATGGAAATGCCAAGTGGTGAAGGAGCCAACCAATGTGCAACTAAGTGCTACAGGAGATGCTGTGTTAATTTAGTTCAAAATAAAATCTGCTTTGGATGAATTAACACATCATAGTGCAGTTTCTTATTTAAATCAGGGATTCCCAACCCAGTCCTCCAGTACTCCCAACCAGCCCAGGATTTGGGAATTACCCTGTTGTGTCTGAGGTGTTTTTCTCTTCTTCTTCTTCTAAAAACACTTTAGACACAATTGTGTAATCCCTAAATCTTGGACTGGTAGAGGGTACTTGAGAACTGGGTTCGGAACCACTGCTCTATACTGAAAATCTCTCAAACTGCCTTTTCCAGCTCAAATATTCCAGCAATTCTCTTTTCAATTCTCTACAATTCAAGTTTTAGGGAATAAATCCCATGGATTCAAACCATTGCATTGAAAAGATATGTTTATAAGGTTAAACTAATTATCACTAGTGATGTCGCGAACCGTTCGCGAACTTCCCGCAGTTTCAACATGGATGCTGTCCAGGAGGTGGGAGGGTCTGGGAGGGAGGGTCTGCTGGAGATTGGCCGGGATGTGTCAGCTGACCAGAGCTCGCCACGAATGGTTCGTGGCGAACCGCGGCGAGCCGTTCGCGGGAAGTTCGCGAACGGTTCGCGACATCACTAATTATCACAAATTCACCAATTACTTAATGGATTTATAAATGGACCACTCTTTATGTAGGAATGATTTAATCTGATTAGTGATTAATTACTGATCAATTGTAAATGTTCCAAGTTGTTTAGAAGAACTTCTCACATGTATTTTCATTGTTGCTTTTCAATATGATTTCGGGTTATCAGTACCAAAATTCTGTAGAGCTGAACCAACATATGGCTGAAATTTGGGTGTCTTCAAAACCTGCGATTTTTGGGAAAAATGTTTTGGCCAAGCCAAATTTTCTAAAAGGCTAAAAAAAAAAACAGTCTTTATTAAAACACTTTTTTGGTTGGAGTAACATTTTTTTCAGGTCATATTAAAAGTGCGCTTTTAGTTTTATATAATGTCAGGGTTATCAAAATTACAGAAGATTTTAAAAAAATGAAAATTTGCAAATGTGTAATGACTAAAATATTAAAATGTAGATGATGATGTGTATATTTTGATTCTAAGGAAATCTATTGGGTCACAATGACCTCTATTTTTTTATGTGTTAAAACCATGCAAAATTATAAAAAATAAAGCATAATTGTGATGGTGCTTAAAGCGGCTACTTAAAGTGGACCTGTCATGTTTATAGCACTTTTGCCTTGGAATCTCACTGGAATCCCCATGTAATAAAAAAATATCATAAGACAATGTAGAGATTACTTAGCCTTATAGTGATGTCTGATAAAGTTACCCCCATTATTTTTTGTCAGTTCCAACAGATGTTACTAGAGATGGTTGTGGGAAAACAGGCATCTTCTCCTGCATTGTTAAGCTGGTCTATGGAGATTGCTGGATCGACCTTAGACTTTCCAGGGTTATTAACTAACTTGAGAATTCAGAGTGAATAAAAAGTGAACTTCAAATTTAAGACCAAAGTAGCTGAACTAGAATCATAGCTGACTATTCTAGGTTCTATTATTATGACCTTAAATTTGAAATTCACTTTGGATTCTGACGTTTGTGAATACCTCTGTTCGTATTGTTATCTCACCCATGCAGACATGATTTGTTCTATGTGCCTGAATAATCCTCCTTTTTTTTAAATATATCAGCTATACTGTACACTTATATCTCACAAAGAAAATATATAACTATTGTTTTACAATTGTGAATATGTTAACACCTTGAATTTAATGACATGGTTTATAAACATTTCATCTTGTTTGGTGCTACATTTGTAATGTAGTAATTATGGTGTTTATATACTGTTTCACTTTTCAAAACAAGCACGAACATTTAATTTTCATAAAAATCGAATTATGCATTTCTTAGCACTCTGACTAGACCAAGTTCCAAAAAGATGTGTTTATAATTCCTAAACGAAGATCAAACATAAGCTGAACATTACAATGTAGAAAAGAAACACATTTTCTTTTTACCAGAAATTTTAGAATAAAACTTGCAACTCCCATGTCATCGTTCCATATCACATGCCGTAATTCTGATATGAATTTTACTTTAACATGCGATAGACTAGATTTATGAAGTAGCATTTTCATCAAAGTGTCAGGAAATAATGACCTGCCTGACAAGGTGACTACTCAACCAGATATACATGATAAACTACACATTTTATCAAAAATAAAGAAAGAATAATTTATGAATGACACTCCTTGTCAACCTTTGATCACTCATTTTGATGGAAATGATAATTAGTTCATGCGAGAGTAGGGCCAAGGAAATGTCCAATTAAGCAATTCATATCTTTATCATTGAAAGGGTTAACTACTGGTGATATGCCAAGTAAAAAACACATATTGTATTTCAATACACACCTAAAGAAAAACGTGACTTTTCTAAATGTAGCCAATGACAGGTCCGCTGCACATGTCATATAGTAAAAGAAGCGGCTTACTTATACACTATTCTAATAGAGGAATTGCAATTCATACGGGTAAAGTCAGTGCATTGATGTGCCTTGACAACCATCGTTCAAAATGGAGACTACACAGCATTGTCGGAGACTAATAAAAACTAATTTTTCCACCTCATTCAATAAGATTTTAGTAATGTAAATGCAATGTTACCAAAAATGTTGCTGCATTCTTCACACACCATACCACAACCCACTTTGACAAGATATATGTCTGGTGGTTTTCTGTTCACTACAGGAGGTCCATCTTTTATTCTGTGATAAACTTAGTGTCCATTCATTATGCAGTCAGTTACAATCAGGTGACAACTAAGATAATAAACTGATAATATAATAGCCTAGTTAAGTAAAAAAAAAACAACTGTTAGGATACACCAATAGTTGTGTGACAGTTTGAAACAAACAATGTTGATTTATGGAGCTAAATACCATTAAAAACACAAAATCCACCCTACAAAACTAGCTAACGTCTCCTGTGCACCTGGTTGGCATCATCAAACACCGGACTACTTAAACCCATATCCAAATCCATCCATCCTTAGCCATACCCCAACCCACACAATAAATCTAATCTCATAACCATATTTGTCTAACGGCATTGCTTCATGATTACTCAAAGAGATAACCATCTATGTATCCCATATTATAACCCAATCTGAATAGGGACATTAAAATTACTCTTGAGAAAGTTTGTAAGCATAGATGTAGCATTATTAAATCATTGTAATGTTTTTTTAAGCAAGGGGTCCGTGAATGGCTGGCCACCTTAGGACCCCCGAGGAGGCAGCCAGCTGTGCACTAAGGCAAAGTAAGCAGAGCACAAGGGAGCGCTGATGTCTGTGCTCTTCCACGCGCTGTGGTGCAGCTGGGAGCCGGGTTATAATGTCACTCCTGCCCCGACATCACTAAGCAGCGCATGAGGGAGCAGTGCTGGAAGAGCACAAAGATTACACAAGACGCACACTGAACACTACGGAAAAGGATCTCCACAACTTCAACATTGTTCACGGTGCTTTACAACTTAAAGGGACATGCATCACTTGACAGTTCATTTTTTAAACCAACAAGCAAACACTTTTATTCAAATATACAAACTAAATTAAAGATAGAAAAACTTTGAAAACTACGTAATAAACATTTAAAACATTACTATAAAATTAGTCAGATTAAATTGTTGAGTACAACTCTTAGCTAGAGGAGTTTCTTCAGGAAACAAGTAGTAAATAACATTAATATGTGTGAACAAAAACAGAACAGAGGATTCTGCCCAATAAGATTACAAGCTGGCAAAGAGGGCAGGAAGGCAATTGCCTAACGAGCAACTAGCATGGAAGGGTGGGTAAGGAGGATGTAGGCTGTAGCCTCACATGGTTATTCTGTAGATTAAAATAGGAGACAGTTCAATAGAATGTTTGTTGGAACAGCATTGGAGGAGTGAAGCTCAGATCCATAAATAGCTATGTATATTTTTAAAAAGTCTCCATCTTTATCAGATGAGGTTACAGTTTGGTAAAACACTGTCACAAATTTGAAACTCACCATCAACACTTCTCCAAATACATCTAGAAAGAGGCCCAACATTTTGTAAAATTAACTTTTATTTATATTTATACTTTAAAGAGGACACGCCATCCAAACACAACGTTTTAAAAAATTCAATAACAAAACAAGGTAAAATTGTTTATTTACTATAAGAAAGGCTGAAGAGCACCATACAGATATTTATACAATATGGGGTCAGTATTTTAAACACGAAGAAAACATACGTTAATTGGGATTGTATGATTTACTTTCTTTTAGTGAACACAGGTTCAGTTTTGACATCTCCTTACATTGTGTATGCTTAGTTGCTAAGTTCATGTACTCTACATTCAGTGGATTCACACTCTAAATGAAGTGTGATTAATGGTTTTACAAATTGAACCCTATATTTTGACAGCATATATACCTATAAAGCAAAACTAGAAAGAGGTCCAGGCACTCCAGGATTCAAAGAGGGCAATTTATTAAACCCGCCGCCAATCACAACGTTTTGACCTGAACGGTCTTTGTCAAGCTGTTTTGTCGAAACGTTGTGACTGGCGGTGGGTTTAATAAATTGCCTTCTTTGAATCCTGGAGTGCCTGGACCTCTTTCTATTTTTGCTTTATCAAGTAATTGGTTCTTGGTACTGGGACCAGCCTGGTTGCACCCAGATTCACATCACCATGGGGATTGAGT